GCCGCCTCCTCCTCCCCCTGGTCGGCTGTGACAAATATGTGCGAGCGGAGCCTGACTGTGTCCCTGATCCGGTCCAGGTTGAAACCATAGACTATATGAGTATGCGGGACGGCTCGCAGCCTCATGTCTGGTCTGAGTGGCTTCCCTCCAAATGGCCTCGTGCACAGTCACTCGTAACCTTGGAATTCCATCCGTTTGAAGTAAACAGTGCTTGATCGGAAAGATGACATTTCCCAAAGCTTTAGGGTGCACACTTCAAACAAAATGCATGATTTGTCGTTTCTGTTAAAACATTTCTTTAACATAGAAGCTTAGTTTTGTATTTTGATAAAAATCTTGCCGAGTGACACAACATAGATTGTCTGGTACTGAAGAACTTAACTTAACCAACTACGAAGACAAGATGATCCTTCCTAAACTTTTGTATTATAGTAAATTAAAAATAAAGTAAAGCTGGGGTACCTAACTTGCAAACCACAAAAAGGCACTATGTAACAACAACAACAACTTTCTAACTCCCAAAACAGTGGTATATATTTTTTCTTCTCTCTCAGCTCCCAAATGGTAACTCACAGGGTTTTTCTATAAACTAAAGAATTTATGACAAAGACAACACCATCTTCTGATTGCTTCACAAAACTTTGATATATTGTTTTCCAATTTTCTTTTTCTGCTTTAACCTATAGATATGAAACATTTTTTTGTCCGCACATCACTTAACTCCCCCTACTGGTGAAATCTAAACCAAGTCAAAGTCACAATCACCCCCTTTATCACCCCCACCTCACTCATTTCATCATAACTATTCTGCATTCTTTCATCCAATGGCTCAGTGTTGTCATACTACAGACTCCCCCTGTTATTTCCCACTCACGCATCACAAACAAAACACTGTCGTCTCCTCTCCCCTCCTCTCCTCTACCCTTTCTCCCCATCAGTGTCTTTTGCAGCGAGGCTGTTCGAACAAGGAATGGGGGGGGGGGGGGCTTTCTGCTTTAATGCTTCTTAATACTGCTGTCTGCTTAATGGGGCAGATATGAGAGGTGCTGCTATCGCCGGCGTAATAAGTCAATGATTAGAGGGTGGCTTGTCACAGCGGCAGACTCTGCAGACAGTGGCTCTTAATTGCCGTATTAGACGCCCCTTAACTACCCTGTCAGCTGTCAGGAAGCCCGCTCGTAAACAGCCGTGCCGCGTTTTTTGATATTTCCATTTGTTTGTTGGATGATGTTAGCGCGAGGGGTAATTAGTGCAGCCCTGTGACAGCACTTGAAGATTTTTAAGGCCGTGTAGACGTTACGCAACAAGCCATGTTTTTGGTGGGAGTGTTCGGCGGGAGGGTTTGTCGTAAGTTTGAACAAAACAAGAGTTGCGTCGTATTGATTAATGGGGCTGCAATGTGACCGCGCGGTTTCAGGTTGGGTTTGTGTAATGTCTTCTGGCAAATGGGGAAATCATTGTGCATTTTAGACTTAAGCCAAAGTTCTAGAAATATTCTGTTGCTGATTTGTAAAATGAAAACCATACCTGCCACCAACTAACTCGTCTAAGGGCTCGTAAATGTAACGTAGCCCACATAAGACCTTTTACTCAGGCTTTTTATTAGATAGTGTAAATTTCTCCTCTGTGAGATAAATAAAGCAATCTTATCTTATACTGTCAATATGATACAAGTAACTGATAACAGGGGACTTTCATTTTGATACATTTTGATATGATACATTTCTAAATCATACAATGTGGTTCAGGAAAAATAAAGGTCTTTAGCTCCTTATCCAGTCTCATTCAAACAAACATTCAATATGCAATTTGCTTCTTGAAGATTGTTGTCAAAACATAAGTTAAACACATTTGTAAAAAAAAAAAAGGGAACATTTTCAAACTAAAAGAATGGACATTACCCAATAAAAATACTCATATTTTGTTACTTCAGCTAAAAGACTAGACCACAGATGTGTCTGAACTCTAAACATGAGCACTTGGTTGATATACAATAAAGTCATACAATCTGTCCATCTATCTATCTATATACAAATACACATGGTTTTTTTTCATGGAGACTGCTAAATACTTTCATTTAATCCTTTTTTTGCATGTTTGCGTATAAAGACAATCGATGAGACATTGGAATAACTACAACGTCCACATATAAGCATGCTTAAAGCACCAAACTGTTTGCTCTCTGTATAAACCATGTAATCCCAACCCTCTTAAATGCCAGCAACCGCACCTGCAGAGCTTATAACTTGAATAATCTATCTTGTGTCTCCCCATGCGTCGGGCGGGCGGTGACGCGGTTAGAAGTGTGGTACTTTTGTGTTTAAACCTGGATTATCTCATGTTCACTTTGATACCTGCAGTGCTAATCCGGTGCACACCTTAGGCTCGTCGCCAGGGGATACAGATTTCTTGGATTTTACGGTGCCTACTGCAGATTAGCCTTGAGTTGACTTTTATATTTGACATTACAAGATATGGCGGTAAATCCGTGTCATATTTATCACTATTAAACACTAGAATAGAGAGCGAAGGGGGACGAACAGAATTGCAGCTTCGCACAGGTTATATAGGAGGGAAAGCATTCTATGTAGATATGCAACTTTTTCATACATCAGCAAAACCAAACCTCCTCTTCCCTGGATAAACTGTTCAAGCATCACTACTTAAAGCTTGGATCTCTCACCCAATCAGCTCTCGGCCCAAAGCATCAAAATGTGACGCAAGTATGCAAAAGGCAAGATGCTTTCTAACAAGATAAAGACAGAATCTTGTGATGAGATTTGTTGAACATTTTACTGTACTTAAGATTTACTTTTATAAGACTCTTTCTGTTGTGCCAAGCAATATGCATTGTTTATAATTTTATTGTTTTTTAACCTGTCATATAGAGAAGCCAATCAGCGATATATAGTCCCTCACCTGGCTGTTCAATATAGTTCAAATATATGAAGACCGCTTTAAGTTGTTCAATGTTTCTTTCTGAATAAAAAATGACATGATCTTTTCGTCTTTCACTGCAAAAATTATGCGTACTTTTAACTCACAACAATTGTAAAATTCGCCCAAGAAGGTGTCACATCACTGTCACTCATGGTGCAGAGACTGGAGAGATACAGTGGACCGGTGTCTTTAGTGCAGACAGTACATAAAGACAGATAAGACGTTGATAATACGCCACTAAACTTCAGCCTATTCATAAACTCATTCTCTGTAGTTACGGACAATTCAATTTAATGTGTTTTTGTATAGCCCTAAATCAAAACAGTAGTTGTCTAGGTGGACTTTACCGAAATTCGCCAGCACAGATCAGAATTTAACTGTTCAAACACAGCAAATGCAATGATAAAATAAACATATAGAGCTTTTGGTTCATGGGGACGGATGACCAATGTCCATGAATGTTGAGTGTCCTAGATTCCACCACTGTGCTTAGACCCTCCTGCATTGACGAGGAAGAAACTCTAAAAACCCAGAGGGACAATGACAATGATAACAGACATGCGCTTAAAGCTGAGGTAACTAACTTTCAAACCCCAAAACAAATAAACTACCTGTATGAGAAAATGCATCTATCTAATTCCTGAGCTACCCCGTTGTTTCACTTATGCGCACTTTTACATAATTCCTTACATTGTTCCCTGACAATTTAGAGACAGACTACTAATACCAGTTCTGCATGTTTACATATTTCATTATTAAGTCTAAGAATCAAATGCGATTGACCTTTTGAGTATGTGCACAATGTTTATCCCCGCAACAGGGGTACTCATGACATCCAAGCTGGCAAGGCTGGGAAACATTGGGCTTACTTACTGAGAAACCACATGAATTATTATTTTGATACAGACACAAAAGCAATGCCAGCTTGTGCCATTCCCCAAACATTCTCCAAAACCATCACTGGGCCATTATTCAAATTACACCTCTGCTTTTACAACATCCACTCACCACTCAAAGATATATATTGCATTCACAGAACTCGGTATTGCGCCAAGTTATTAGCCCTAATGTCTGCTCTCACTAACCTCTGCGGATCACATATTTATCTTAAGGAAATGTAATATTGGACTTGAGAAAGGATGAAAAGCATTGCGTGCTGCTCCAGGTTTTGTGCAGGCCTGTGTGTTTGGGTCTTGTTCCGCTATCTACTCAATCATCAATTTGTCTTGTAAAAAAGGAAGAAAAAAAAAGTCTGGTAAACAAAAGATCTGCCACTGTTGATTAAGACGAATATTTTTAAACAGCATTCTACTGGATATTTATGGCTCGCAGCTGCCCAGGAGCTCATTTGAATGATAAAGCTATGGGAGTAAATCACGCATTCTTCTCCTGCAGAGGCCCATATAGAGACACAAAGAGCTAAAACCAAAGTTTACCTGTTTTTTTTTTTTTTTTTTTTTTTTTGGTGCTAAGGTTTACGGCCGAAGGCGCTAACTGTGTCAAAGTCTGGACACTTAACAAGGGGCTACTAAAAGCTTGTTCGGGGTCAGGCCAAGTGCAGAGGCTGTGTGCAGTAATAGAGCCGCAGTCAAAACAACTCTCACCAGGGCTTTGCGCACTCACACTATGGAGAGCGGTGGTGAGAGAATGTGTGATGAGCTGGTTGTCTGTCGGCTCTCCATGTGATGTGCTGTTGAGAGTCTCTATGTGATGTGCTGTTAAGAGTATGCTTTGTGGTTGAGTGTCTTGTCAAGCATGTTGAATTGTTTTTGAACAAATTTTGCTATACAAATACATTGGAGTGTTTGACCAGATTTAGATTCATTGTATTTGCCATTTGCAGTAAAACCACATTAGAATACATTTGAAAAGGTCCCCAGTGTGGGCCAGACAAGTATTGTTTGTAGGTATTCTCCCAATTGAAACCATTTCTATTTCTGCCATTCAGGGTAATCCAAGTATTTTACACAGTGTAAAATATGGGTTGTGTCTGTTTGAATGTTGTCTTGTATTGTTGCATACTGTTCTAAAGACTAACTAGTATTTCTGTGTGTTTCCAGGCCATTCGGTGCACGTTGGTCAACTGCACGTGTGAGTGTTTCCAGCCGGGAAAGATCCACCTGCGGACGTGTGACCAGTGCAAGCACGGCTGGGTCGCCCACGGTACGAGCCCTCATCTTCACCCATTCTCACCCTTTATCCCCTTTTCCCCAGCCATACTTTCTAAACGTCCTCACTAGGGCTGGGTATCTTTCAGAACTTGCTGATATGATTACATAACTCAACTATACGTGTCTAGATACAGGGGTCTTTCAATTCATTATGATCTATTTCTAAACAGTGTTAACTAATACAAATTTCAATAAAAAAGAAAAAAACTATGGATTTATTTCTCTTTAGTTGCTATAAAAGTCAAAATATAAAAAAATGCTATAAATAATATAAATTCTGTTTGAATTGAAAAAAAAATTGACAAAATATTATATCTAAAATTGTGTATAATTTTGAAATATTGATATTTATCTAAACATCTATTGTTTTAGCACACCCCTAGTTTTGTTCAGACAGAGCCTATGTGATTTAGTGTATTTATACTTGTTCTGGGTTGCACCTGGCCGAGTGACAGATTTCCTCTTGGGGACAATAAAGCTGGAGTTGAAACAGTGGTTAGGTAAACACGGCTCCACTCGGCTTGCCGTAGGAGATTCCAAGTCCAATATGTCTGGACCACGTGGGGATTTTAATAAGATTTATCAAGTCTTTTACGCTCTGCAGAATAGTGCGTAGACAGGAGCGTTTTGACCGAAGACAGGACAAGATGAACAGGTTTTAAACTTGTATTGTAAAGTTTGAATTCAGAGGTGGAGGATTCTCACTGTGTGTCTCTGTACTTTAAAAACGTAATAATTGTAAGGAAGAACCCTGTGAGTCATTATTTGACCCTTTGGGATGAGTGAGGGTGGTCCTCTCATTTTCCTCTTTTTCGGATATAAACACGTGACAGAAGCCTAAAAATACATGCGTTTGAAAACTAGTGACAAAAAAACTGTTTTGACAGTGAGGCAATAGTGCATTCAATGTTCCTCACATATATATTCAATGTTTTACGCGTCTTTCCAAAATTAGTGATTTGGATTATCACACGTTTGGCCCTAAATCCCACTAAAACAGTCAGACAAAAATAAAAAATCTAAAGAGTCGAAATGCCATCCCGCTCCAATTTTAACATGCACAACACAGACTCTGCTTCATTGTAGTATTTCTCTGAAAAGTCAACCAAAGCTACATATTTTGTTTGATATACGCTTTGGGTTGCCTTTAAAGTCTTGTTTTTCACCGCACATCAAAAACAACAAAAAGCAGGAGCAGCAATGAAGTGAGAGGCCAGACCACACCTCTCGCACTCTTTCCCACTGCTACAAGACAGAGAAGTACAAAGCTATACAAGCAGGAGGGGCGCAGATAAAAGAAAACACCTGTTGGCCCGCGTGCACGTCAGCCCGGGCCACGGCGTGCACGGCAAAGGACCTCACTGGCGCGTTTTTTAAATCCCCCCCACCACCACATTTTCCTCTGAACTGTCAAACCACTCTTCCTCATTTCACGTCGGCATTGGCAGCCACACTGACAAGCAGATCTTAAAGCATATTTTTTATTATGTCCGTGTCTGGTTGGAGTGCCGTTGTCAGGCGAGGGCCCCGTCAGCAGGGAACGAGAGGCGAGCAGGTGTCACCCGCAGAGGAGCAGAGCGATGGGGGGGGGGATGGAGAGGACGGGATGTACAAAGAGGTGCGCTTGTCATGGTCCTTGGAACGACATGAGAAACATGTTATGCAATATCTCTGCGCTGGACTGAAAATCAAAAGCCTGCAACGTTTTTAGGGCGCTTGTATGTATCGAAATGTGGTAATATTTTGTTTGTCTCAACTAAAAGAATAAATGTTGCTGCAATCACAACAGCAGTCGTCTCGGGGGACTTTATGAAGTTATCGATTCCCCAACAATAGATCAGAGAATAAAAGAGTTCAAACACAGGAAATGCAATAATAACAAAGACATAGGAGGCATGGGTCCATAGGGAGCAGGATGACCACTGTCCATAAACTTTAAAGTGATAGATAAAGGGTTATCTTTTACAAAGAGCTATGTTAGTCACTATTTGAAGCATAGGGCTGAAAGTGGTGGTTTTCATTGCGAAGATCCATTCTTGTGATTTGAATACAAAATGTTCAAACTTTTATTTATTTGCAAAAATTTCATTTAACACCATTTAAGTGAATGGGGACACACTGTGATATTGGCAGAGTTAAACTGGGGAGGTAGTGGGGAAATAATAAAAAATAATCAATCTGTGGGGTCATATAATTCAAACCTTTACCACTCGTTCAAACCTAGTTCAAACAGGTGATTTTGCATGGTCCAAATAAATGTGAAAATGCTCCTAATAAAGAGTATTCACAAGCCTGCAGGGCCGCCAGAAGAGCATCTCCGCCAGGATAAGTGCAGCTTAGGGCGAGGATGGAGATAGAGGAGGCAAATAAACACAGCCGTGCAAGAGCAGCAGTAATGAGAAGCAGCGTGAGATTAGATTAAATAAACGGAATGGGGGAAAATTACATTAATGTCATTGCTTTTATGGAATGGATACGTCATTACGCACTACCGCTGACTGCGCAAGAGCCTTGGAGGATACTAGTGAGACCAGAGGGAAACCTGATCGGCCTTAAGACGGGGACGGACGATATATTGGCGCTAATATGGGTGTGATCAGAGGGCTTGTGTTGGTGCAAGGGTAATAACAAATTGCCTATGTATTTTGACTAATATTATTTCTGGTTTGTCCCGCAATGAAGATGACAATATAGATAATAGCTTGAGTAGAGCAGTCTCTTGTCTTAACATAAAGCAGAGCACTAATTTAGAATCTGAATGTGCATATGATTACTAACTTTTTAAAACTGGAATGAAAATAATGCCTTTTTGATTTATTTCCACAGTAAAGAGATCATACTAATTAGAAAGTAAATGCTGTACCTCAGTGTTTGAACTAGATCATTGTTGCTTCCTAATTGTTTGCCTTGCATGAAAATAATATGTATGTATTTATTCATTTTCCATTGAACGCATGAGAGCTCTGCATGAGAAATAAGAGCTTGAATAAAGCAGTCCCTTGTCTTGTCATAAAGCAGAGCTCTAGTATAAATTAGAATTTGAATGTGCACAAAGTCACTATCATTTTATTTTTTGTATGAATAACACTTTCTTGATCAATCCACTTTCTGTTTTAGGCAACCTTTTACATGTTTCCCCCCATGAGATTTGTGCCTAAAGTTAGAACTACCTTAAAATCAATGTTAGTCTCAGTGCGAGAAGCTAATATTATGAACAACTTGGTAGATGATTTGAAAGCATGTCCAAACCTGTTTCAATTGAAACCGCCATTCAAAAAATAAGCTGAAGAAGTACGTGGAGTGGCCTGTGTGTGTGTGAGTGCGTAGTGTGTGTGTGTGTGTGTGTGTGTGAGTGCGTAGTGTGTGTGCGTGTGTATGTGTTGGATTGAATAAGTGAGAGTGAGAGGGTTAGAGCCAAAACAGCATTGGCTTTGTTTCTCGTTTATGGTTTTATTTGTATTTGATATACAAAAACATTACTTCACTCACTAAAAACTGTTGTTTGGAAGTCTTTATCACTATGGCACTTTTCTCATTCTAAAAGTGGTGCATTTGTGACCCACAGCCCTGGACAAGCTGAGCACCCAGCACCTGTACCACCCCACTCAGGTGGAGATCGTCCAGTCCAACGTGGTTTTCGACATCAGCAGCCTCATGCTCTATGGAACACAGGCCGTCCCGGTCCGCCTCAAGATCCTGCTAGACCGCCTCTTCTCTGTGCTCAAGCAGGAGGAGGTGCTGCACATCCTCCACGGCCTGGGCTGGACGCTGCGAGACTACGTGCGAGGATACATCCTGCAGGTCAGCGGCCACATCACACCAACGCCGCCGTCAGTCACAGACACATCACATGCTTTTGAGCTTTTAACATCATCCAAACCTGCTGATCTGGAGCCTCTGGCACAAATCTGTCCAAACGCTCCTTTTCCAAATTATTTATGAAGCAACTCAGTTGGGTAGCTAATAGCAAATAGTAAAATTGGTCATATTTTGCTAGTTACAATCAAAGTAACTAACATGCAGACTTAATGGACTCTTAAGTGCACATTGCCTGTTTTTCCTCACTGTTTACTTATAGTTAATATAACTTCACGTCAGGAGCTGTATTTCTGTGCTTCAGGACACAGTGAAAGTATTATGAATTAAACTTAGTGCAATGTCTTTGGAACACTTATAAATTAATAATATTGTATCAATTGTAATTTTTTATTCCAGTACCTTGTCATTTAAATAAATTCACATTTTAGAGTAACTAACCCAACACTGGTCAAGGACAGAGCTGTTTTCTGCCTTTCAAAACAAAGGTAGGTAACACTTTACATTACGGGCCGGTAAGTCCATGGTACTTACAGTGGTACTTCTAGGTACTTACAGTGGTACTTCTAGGTACTTACGGTGGTACTTACGGTGGTACTTACGGTGGTACTTACGGTGGTACTTACGGTGGTACTTACGGTGGTACTTACGGTGGTACTTACAGTGGTACTTACAGTGGTACTTCTAGGTACTTACAGTGGTACTTCTAGGTACTTACGGTGGTACTTACGGTGGTACTTACGGTGGTACTTACGGTGGTACTTACGGTGGTACTTACGGTGGTACTTACAGTGGTACTTACAGTGGTACTTACGGTGGTACTTACGGTGGTACTTACGGTGGTACTTACGGTGGTACTTACGGTGGTACTTACAGTGGTACTTACGGTGGTACTTACGGTGGTACTTACAGTGGTACTTACGGTGGTACTTACGGTGGTACTTACGGTGGTACTTACGGTGGTACTTACGGTGGTACTTACAGGGGTACTTACGGTGGTACTTACGGTGGTACTTACGGTGGTACTTACAGTGGTACTTACAGTGGTACTTACAGTGGTACTTACAGTGGTACTTCTAGGTACTTCTAGGTACTTACAGTGGTACTTCTAGTGGTACTTCTAGGTACTTATTGTGGTACTTACAGTGGTACTTCTAGGTACTTACAGTGGTACTTAGAGGTACTTATTGAGGTACTTACAGTGGTACTTCTAGGTACTTATTGTGATAATTCTAGATACAGCTGTAACTTAGTAATTCAAGGACACTACAGTATTATTCCTATGTAGTAAATGTGGTACTTCTACATACATACATACAGAGGTCATTTGTAGGATTGTTTGACTATAAAACATAAAACAACATTATGTAAAACAAACGTCTTTATTAATATGGAATAAGTAGCACAGAAAGGACAGTATAAATACATTTAATGCATATTTCAAAACAAGTTTCAAGGACAAGGGAAACACTGCAAGAACTAGGTACCCAACCCAAGTAACAAGAATTACACATTACCAGGTACTTACCAGCCAAGTACCAGGTACTTACCAGCAAGTACCAGGTACTTACCAGCAAGTACCAGGTACTTAACAGCAAGTACCAGGTACTTAACAGCAAGTACCAGGTACTTACCATAGGGACTGGCCCATAATAAGACAAAGGACTTTAACATAAGTACCAGTGATAACACCAGTAATTATACAGTAAGTACCAGGTACTTACCATAGGGACTCTGGCCCATAATAAGACAAAGGACTTTAACATAAGTACCAGTGATAACACCAGTAATTATATAGTAAGTACCAGGTACTTACCATAGGAACTGGCCCATAATAAGACAAAGGACTTACCCATAAGTACTAGTGATACCAGTAATTATATAGTATACCATGTACTTACCAGCAAGTACCATGTACTTACCAGCAAGTACCAGGTACTTACCATAGGGACTGGCCCATAATAAGACAAAGGACTTTTAACATAAGTACCAGTGATAACACCAGTAATTATACAGTAAGTACCAGGTACTTACCATAGGGACTGGCCCATAATAAGACAAAGGACTTTAACATAAGTACCAGTGATAACACCAGTAATTATATAGTAAGTACCAGGTACTTACCATAGGAACTGGCCCATAATAAGACAAAGGACTTACCCATAAGTACTAGTGATACCAGTAATTATATAGTATACCATGTACTTACCAGCAAGTACCAGGTACTTACCAGCAAGTACCAGGTACTTACCAGCAAGTACCAGGTACTTACCAGCAAGTACCAGGTACTTACCAGCAAGTACCAGGTACTTAACAGCAAGTACCAGGTACTTACCAGCAAGTACCAGGTATTTGCTGGTAAGTACATGGTATACTATATAATTACTGGTATCACTAGTACTTATGGGTAAGTCCTTTGTCTTATTATGGGCCAGTTCCTATGGTAAGTACCTGGTACTTACTATATAATTACTGGTGTTATCACTGGTACTTATGTTAAAGTCCTTTGTCTTATTATGGGCCAGTCCCTATGGTAAGTACCTGGTACTACTTGCTGTTAAGTACCTGGTACTTGCTGGTAAGTACCTGGTACTTGCTGGTAAGTACCTGGTACTTGGCTGGTAAGTACCTGGTACTTGCTGGTAAGTACCTGGTACTTGCTGGTAAGTACCTGGTACTTGCTGGTAAGTACCTGGTACTTGGCTGGTAAGTACCTGGTACTTGCTGGTAAGTACATGGTACTTGCTGGTAAGTACATGGTATACTATATAATTACTGGTGTTATCACTGGTACTTATGTTAAAGTCCTTTGTCTTATTATGGGCCAGTCCCTATGGTAAGTACCTGGTACTCACTGTATAATTACTGGTGTTATCACTGGTACTTATGTTAAAGTCCTTTGTCTTATTATGGGCCAGTCCCTATGGTAAGTACCTGGTACTTGCTGGTAAGTACATGGTATACTATATAATTACTGGTATCACTAGTACTTATGGGTAAGTCCTTTTTCTTATTATGGGCCAGTTCCTATGGTAAGTACCTGGTACTTACTATATAATTACTGGTGTTATCACTGGTACTTATGTTAAAGTCCTTTGTCTTATTATGGGCCAGTCCCTATGGTAAGTACCTGGTACTTACTGTATAATTACTGGTGTTATCACTGGTACTTATGTTAAAGTCCTTTGTCTTATTATGGGCCAGTCCCTATGGTAAGTACCTGGTACTTGCTGTTAAGTACCTGGTACTTGCTGTTAAGTACCTGGTACTTGCTGGTAAGTACCTGGTACTTGCTGGTAAGTACCTGGTACTTGGCTGGTAAGTACCTGGTAATGTGTAATTCTTGTTACTTGGGTTGGGTACCTAGTTCTTGCAGTGTTTCCCTTGTCCTTGAAACTTGTTTTGAAATATGCATTAAATGTATTTATACTGTCCTTTCTGTGCTACTTATTCCATATTAATAAAGACGTTTGTTTTACATAATGTTGTTTTATGTTTTATAGTCAAACAATCCTACAAATGACCTCTGTATGTATGTATGTAGAAGTACCACATTTACTACATAGGAATAATGCTGTAGTATCCTTGAATTACTAAGTTACAGCTGTATCTAGAATTATCACAATAAGTACCTAGAAGTACCACTGTAAGTACCACAATAAGTACCTCTAAGTACCACTGTAAGTACCTAGAAGTACCACTGTAAGTACCACAATAAGTACCTAGAAGTACCACTAGAAGTACCACTGTAAGTACCTAGAAGTACCTAGAAGTACCACTGTAAGTACCACTGTAAGTACCACTGTAAGTACCACTGTAAGTACCACCGTAAGTACCACCGTAAGTACCACCGTAAGTACCCCTGTAAGTACCACCGTAAGTACCACCGTAAGTACCACCGTAAGTACCACCGTAAGTAACACCGTAAGTACCACTGTAAGTACCACCGTAAGTACCACCGTAAGTACCACCGTAAGTACCACCGTAAGTACCACTGTAAGTACCACCGTAAGTACCACCGTAAGTACCACCGTAAGTACCACCGTAAGTACCACCGTAAGTACCACCGTAAGTACCTAGAAGTACCACTGTAAGTACCTAGAAGTACCACTGTAAGTACCACTGTAAGTACCACTGTAAGTACCACCGTAAGTACCACCGTAAGTACCACCGTAAGTACCACCGTAAGTACCACCGTAAGTACCACCGTAAGTACCACTGTAAGTACCTAGAAGTACCACTGTAAGTACCTAGAAGTACCACTGTAAGTACCATGGACTTACCGGCCCGTAATGTAAAGTGTTACCCAAAGGTATTGTGAAATAAGTTTTAGGGTTTCCTTAAGTAAAATGGACAACATGAAAAATGAAAAAATTCACCTTGTAGAAATGAAATGCCATAAAAGTAATTATTCTCAAGATCATGTTAAAAGGCCATATTCCGTTAGCACTAAACATACATTCCTAGTATTCTTAAACAATGTTATGAAAGCCTAAAAAGTCTTAATCTAAATGAAACAGTTTATTGTGGCAAATATTGGACTTTTAGACTTGCTGCTTTCACCACATCAAAACCTGCACAAGACTGGACCCGAACTTAACCAAAACCAAAAAGATTGTCAGTCAATCAGCGTGAAAATGGCTTCTCCGGCAGCGGTTGCATCCAGAACCCAAAAGTGAAGCCAAAATCCCACTTTGCCCACACATCACAGAGGTCCCAATAAACCCAGACCTGAACTCAACGCAGCTTTCAACCAAAATGTTCCAGTTTTGCCTCAATTGTGAGACCGTTTTTCACAGTGATCTCTCATGCCACCACTTTCGGCCGCCACTTTTACCACAACCAACTGTTTGGACAAATTTATATAATTAAAATCTCGGGCCACTTTAGTACATTTTCCCCCACTTCAACTTGGCCTTTTTTCTCAGCCTGTCAACACCGCACCTTGCCATAAAAAAACTACACAAAATGTCACGCTATAGGTA